TCAACAGTACTGATATAAAGCTGGATGTATCAGAAATAATGCACCAAGCTATGCTTCTACTGCAGTAAGTATTCACCTGGGAAGTGGCAGAGGAGAACCCAACAAATGTTTGGACTAGAGGAAAAGCAGGTTACATAGCTGCAGCTCAGCCCCAGGATGTCAGCCAACAAAATACTGGTGAATGTGGATCACCAGATTCCTCTATTCATGTCATAAGGCACCCTGGAAGATAACCTGCAATCTCAAGAGGAGATCACCCCCACCAGTGGACTTCTAGAGTGGGGGTCCTTGTCACAGATGCTCCCACCCTCCATCCAGTATCTATGCAGCTCCACCTCCTAGGAATAGACACCACAAGGGCACAGGAGAGTTTCAGGACCCTCTGAGATGGAAAGGCCTACCCAGGTGTTCTGGGACAGGGAGGATGGTCATCTTCAAGCCAAGCACTCTCAAAAGGAAACTCAAACCAAGGCTCTTGAGGAATGAAAGTCAGGAAATGGGAGAAGAGCTGGAGGAGTAGGTAAAGAGGTTTGAGAGCTACTCCAGTGCTGTCTGTTCACAGAGGGCAGAGAAGGTGGAATGGGATGGGGGACTGAAGGAGGCCACTCATACACTTAGTGATGCTCCATTTCAATGTATGGAGGCAGAGACCCTGGGGTACAGGGACTGGAGACAAAATCCTAGGCTGGGAATCCCAACTTCTCTGCTGGATATTCCACCCTAAGGCTGCCATTGTGGATCTACTGTTAACTGCACATGTCCCAGCCCCCCGAGCTTCATTAGAGACCTGCTGAGGGAAGTCTGGGGGATGGGACTGGCATGAAGAGGTACAAAGCTCTCCCTGTACATGAGGTTCTGGGCAAAGCCGGGAGGTAATTTCCCAAATTCACGATCAACCTCTCAAAAAGGCTGGCTGTATGCATGTTTGGGGAAGTGTGTGGGTATATTAAGCCATGGTTTGGGACACCTGGTGTTTTAGCCCACCTTCTCTAACCCTCAAGCAGATAATTTGTGCAACAAAAGTTTCAAAGGGCTGCAAATATTTTCTCAAAAGACATGAGATAGGAAAATGTTGGTTCACCAGGCTGCTCTTAGGAAGAGGGCTATATTTGTATGTTTTTATGGAGGGTTTGCTTTGGACTCCTTAAATGATAGCTTAAGAAAGCTATGGCTGTTAACCAAAAGGTCAGCAGTTCAAATCCACCAGCTGTTCTTTGGAAACCTTGTGGGTGGCATAGTGGTTAAGAACTACGGATACTAACCAAAAGGTCAGCAGTTTGAATCTACCAGCTGCTCCTTGGAAACCCTGTGGGGCAGTTCTACTCTGTCCTATAGGGTTGCTATGAGTTGCAATCAACCTGATGGCAATCGGTTTGATTATTTTTTTTAATCTTTTTTTTCGTTATCATCTTGATTCAATTAATGAAAAATATCTATTTGTATGTCCATCTGTCTGTCCATCCATCCACTCATCCATTGATCCTTTCATCTTTAGTGAATAAGATTTGGTTCCTATCCACAAGGAGCTCTCCATAACCAAAAATCATATGTACCTACAATTATTTTACTGGGCATATCATATGTGCTCGATGCCATAAAACAGAGAAGGGGGGCACATACGCCAGGCTAAGGGAAAAAGGGATAACCCCTTCCTTATACAGGACACTATGGTTAAGTCATGAAAATGAGGTTGCTGCTGATCAAATGCTACCATTTGTTGGGGCACTTCCTCATGGTGGTAGGTGTTTTAAGAACAGAGCTTGGAGCCAGAGGACCTAGGAAGCACTACGTGGACTTCAGTTCACCAATAATACTGCCTACTCTAGAAGACAACATGTGTTGCTACCTAACACAGGAGTTACTGTACAGATAAAAGAGGCAACATGCCTACCAAAAGGCTGGGACATATGGGATGCCTAAGAAGTGTCCTTTCTTTTCCACATACCTCATCAAAGTGTATGGCAAATGGCAGGACTGCCCCCCTCCTGGGTCATTGTTTCTGCTCGCTGTACTTTCACTGGTAGTCTATCCTACACCTGTTTGCGTCAGGCCCTAGGTAGGGAGTTTCTAACTGGATCCCTAAAGTCTAACTGGAGGCCTCTGTGAGCTTATAGAGCTGGTTGATGTTTCACCCCGTGATGCGGTGGGAAGTGTCTAGGGAAAAGGGGATCTGGGCTCTAGCCCCAGCTTTGCCCATGGTATTCTGTGTGCTCCTGGACTTCATTGTCTATCTCTGGGAATCAGCTTCATCACCTACATAAGGATTCAGCAAATCATGACCTAGAAGCCAAATCTAGCCCACCACCTGTTTTGTATGTAAAGTTTTATCAGAACACAGCTCTGCCCATTCATTCACATGGCTGCTTTCATGGTATAATGGTACAGCTGAGCAGTAGCTGTGACAAAGACAATATGGCCTGCAAAGCCTACAATATTTTCTATCTGGCCCTTTATAGAAAATGAAAAGGATCTACAAAATGGAGACGAACCAAAGTCACAGGTGCCAATACATATTTTGTAAATATCTATGGGTAGAAAGACTACATAATTTATCATCCAAACTGGGCCACATTAGAGAGTGAAACAGATGTGCTCAACAAAATCACCAAGACAACAGGAATAAACCATGAGTGTTCCAGGCAATCCGGGATTCAGGGCCATGTATCTTTAGAATACTATCGCTACAGTGAGAGATCTACCAAGAAGAGGTCCATAGTCAAATTTATACCAAGACAATAAATTAAATAGGTTTCTTTTTGACTCCTCCAAGCCTGTACTTGGCCAACTGTTGAGTCTCCTAAAAGGGAGTAGGTACACTGTGCAGTTTTTCCAAAATGCATGTGACTTTGACCACAGCATCCTTCATTATAGCGCATCTTAGGGGAATGAATGGTCCTGTAGAGCACGCTCTCTAAGGCAGGCAACGGGGATTCTTCCCAGGGCATACAGGCAAGAGCATCTCCCCCACTCAAGCAATCATGCAGGTAGTGAATACAGGGCAAGGACCCTTACTACAACTCTGAAATCCCAACAGCTCTGAAAACAAGCTTTTTCACCTACAGATTATACAAAGTAATTTAGTAGCAAATCCTGAGCTGATCTGATGCTATTTATGGTCTTTACTTATCCCACCTCTTGTGAATATTTGGAAATTTTGCTATAGGAACAGTAATATATTTGATTACAGGGTACTGCCTCAGACCCTACTGGGGGTATTATAAAACATGCAAGATACACAAACATATTATCTTTTAAATTCCAAAAATTCTGAATTCTGAAACACATTTGACACCATGAGTTTCAGACAAAGGACTGTGGACTGGGTACTAGTCAAAACAAACTGCACAAAGGGGGAAAAACACACAGAGGTAATGAGGCCAAAGGACAATTATTTATCTCAAAATGTTTAGGATCAAACACATCACATTGCAAGTAACCTACCTCTTAAAATCAAAGGGCTCTCCCTTTTACTGATAGGTTACTGCTTCTCTAAAGAAAGGGTTGGGGACTCACCTTGACCCAAAGGGACTGCGGTCCCCACCAGCCAGCACAAAGCCAGCCCTTGCCTGACTCACCTTGGCAGAACTGATACCTGGCACCTGCCCTGGCTCAGAGGACCCTTGCTAATGACTGACAAATAGACTAGTAAACTGAGGGAGAGACTGAGCCATGGGCTGTGAAAACACTCATATAACCACTCTACCGTCCTCATCCAACTCAAAGTAAGTCTTCCCAGGGCTGGCTACCTCTTGTTCTCTTCTCCTCCTCATTTCCTCTTTCCTTTCCACTCTCTGCCTAACTTCCCACCTCTGCTTCTTGGCCACCTCATGGATGGGCAGAGAAGATGAGAGCAGGGAGAACAAAAGGAACCATGGTTACAAGCACGGGCATTTAGGCCCCTCTCCCAGGCTATCTGAGGCTCCCGGCGACATGGGGTAACTTGAGCTGCTTGATGGTCCCTGCTCCAAACATGTGATCTTATCAACCAATTCTGTAAGTCTCCTGACAAAGGACTCCAAAAGGTAAACCTTAAGAAAACTCTCAGACCTACGCCCAGAGTTTGCAAGAGGCAACTATACGATTCTCAAGCACAGAGTAAAACGATTAGCAGAAACTCGCACTACGAAAACCAGGTCCCACTCCTCCACGTCCTCCGCGCAGTAGGAATCCAAGGGTGGCCAAGCCTCTCAAGAACACTCCCAAAGGAAGTTGTATAGCAAAGTGGTCAAGGGTTCGGATCTGCAATGTATAAAACAGCAGCCTCTAGCCACATGTGGCTACCGAGCACTTGGAATGCAGCTAGTAACACTAAGAAACTGAATTTTCCATTTTATTTAATATTAATTAAAATTAAAATTTAAAAACTGATACTTGATTCAGTAATTGCAAAACTTTTAAATATTTGGAACAATTTGCATATATGAATCCCCATCTTCAATTGTAAATTTTATGAACTCTAAATACAACTATTCCCAATGAATTTGAATTGAGATGTGCTATAAGTATAAAATATACACTGGTTTGTAAAGACTTAGAAAAAAATGAATGTAAAATATCTCATTACTAATGGTTTATACTGATTACATGTTTACATGACAATGTTTTGGATCAAACCAAAAAAAAAAAAAAAAAAACTCTTTGCCATCGAGTCAATTCTAACTCATAGCAACCCTATACGACAGAGTAGAACAGCTTTATAGGGTTTCCAAGGCTGTGAATCTTTCCTGAAGCAGATTGCCACATCGTTCTTCTGTGGAGTGGCTGGTGGGTTCAAAACACTGACCTTTCATTTAGCAGCTGAGCACTTCCCCATTGCGTTACCAGGGCTCCTAGGGCCAGGCTAGAAGCTCAGTAAACATGAATTGAACAAATACATAAGTAAATGAAGTCCTTCTGGACTAACTACTAACAACTCCTAGCCAAGCAAGAGGGATATAGATTTACTATTACTTTTTTTTTTTTTAATCAAATCATGTTAAAACAACCTATTTTCTACATACCTGGTAGAAATGTGGCCAGAAGGTGCTGATGGCGAGCTCTGCCTTCACCCAGCCCTCGGTGACGACTCCGGACACATTCCAGACAGGGTTCCCCTGGGGCCCTCCGTTCACTTTCACATAGACGTTCAAGGCTCCTGGGCTGGACCTGTCTCGGCTGGAGAAGTAGTAATGGAAATCGATGCAGTGGGTATCGTTCTCCTTCAGAGTGGGCAAGAGCAGATGAGCCTTCTGGCCGGAAGCCCTCCCCGAGCTGTTCACCATCATGAAGGATCCTGGAGAGTGGTAGACGGGGCAGGAAGCAGAGGCAAGGAGAGAGAAAGAAAACCCTTCTGAAAATAGGTTACACATACAAACATGGCAGCCAGTGGTGTGGCCAGTGAGCAATTCACACAGGAGCGCCTGGTTAACCCTGAGGCAGCCGTGTCTCTGTGAGCCTAAGAGTCTTCTTCTGTTGCTGGGAACAAAACCCCCAACTCAACAAGGTGGCTTTAAAGATTAAGAGATGCCAACATGCATGAAGCATCTGTACACAGTAGGCAGTCTGTAAGCATTTACAAAAGAAGCATTACACCTGATGTGAGGCTCTAAAAACCCAGCAGCTCCTGAAGGAAGCATGGAATAAAAACCAAGGGATTTAATTAACTACAACCTCCACAGGTGAAGTGAGGTGAAATACAACCTCATGCAAACGTGGGCTGTTTCAGCGGAAGCAGAACCTCTACAATATGGGAGGTGCCATGGTTGCAACATATTCCACCTGTATTCTTGCACCCAGTACAAGGGGGGAAAAAAAAACAACAACATGGCTGTCATATCGATTCCAACTCAAGGTGACCCCATGTGTATCAGAGTAGAACTGCACTCCATAGATTTTTCAATGGCTGTAATCTTATGGAGGGCATCCCTGTGTGGCATAAACAGTCAAGTGCTCAACTGGTAACTGAAAGTTTGCTGGTTCAAACCAACCCATAGGCACCTTGGAAGAAAAGCCTAGTGATCTACTTCCAAAAGGTCACAGCCTTGGAAACCCTATGGACTGCAGTTCTAGTCTGCAACACATAGAGTTGCCGTGAGTCAGAATCAGCTACATGGCAACTAGTTTTTTTTGGGGGGAGGGGGAGTTAAATCTTATGGAAGTAGATCGCCGGGCCTTTCTTCTGTGGTACCACTGTGTAGAACCACCAACCTTTTTGTTAGCAGCCAAGTGCAAACCATTTGTACCACTCAGGGAACTCTACAGAGAACCACATATCAAAGGGGGACATATGAAAAGTAGAGTTTACTCATGTAAGCAAGGAGGATCCTGAAGAAATGTGAGAACCAGCTGAAAGATGTTCAGCCTGGGAGGGACAGTAATTAATAGTTGTTAAGCACTTAAGGAGTATCAGTGTTGATGCTAGGTGTTAGATTAGATTAGACAGACAGACAGATAAATTTAATCCCCAAAATGACTTTTGGAGATAGAGGATTTTACTTAAAGATTGAGTGACTTGTCCTGGGTTACTCAGACAGAGACGGATGGGACCCAGGTTTTCTCCATCTTCAAAATTTATGCTATGCTAACAATTTGCAGAAAGCATGACTACTATCTCTAAGCATTAAAAAGACTGTCTTATAGAAGAGAAGTGACCTTCTTTTAAGTTGCTGTGGCAGACGGAATGGTTGTTCCCAGATCTTCACCCCTCCCTGGATCCATGCTCTTTGTCATTGGCTTTGTAGTTCCTCCCAGTAGAGGCAGAGGGCATGTCCCCATCCCTCGATTTTGGGCTCCACCATATGACCTGCTTTGGTCAATGGGATGTTAACAGGCATGATTCAAGCAGAGCCTTGAAATGTGGCTGCCTAGCTGGGCTTGCCCTCTTGCACTTCTGCCACTTTCCATGGGAAGAAAGTGTCCCAGGTAGCTGCTGCCCCTTTCAGCTTGGGACCTAGAATAAACACACATGGAGGAGTCCTGAGCTCAACCAACCAAGCCATGCCATCCCCACAACTAGAGCACAGCCACACAGACAAACTCAACCTAGATCAGCCAATCTGTATTTGATGTGCAGATCCGTGAATGTGAGAATAAATGCTTATTGCTGTTTGCACTGAGTTCCTCTTGGTTTATTATCCAACGTTACTGTGGCAATAGCTAGTTGATACAGTTGCTCAAGAGGGCACATTCATGGAAGACCATCGGGAGGCACATTTCAGTTCAATATGCACAGAACTTTCCAATAAGCAGAGGTGGTACAAAACGGTATTGACTGCCCAGAGACAAATTGAGTTCCCCACCACTGCAGGTGGCTAAGCAGAGCCTGGATGAACTGAGGAGATGTCTAAGGGAATTTCATGATCAACTGTGAGGGCTGAACTCTGTGACTTAGAGTCTTATGCTTCTATGGGGAAAAACAAAATGCATCTTAAAACACAGCTGATAAACTCAGGTGACTTTGGGATGACTATTCGTACTTAGATAACTACCGTTGCTTTGAAATCTTATTTCAACCACTAAAATCTTCAATTCAGAATGAAACCTTATAGCTAATTATCATCAGCCAAGGTGAGCCACTTCACCACCTATAAATAGTCCTATTTTCTCACCCTGGAGCACTGGTGGCACAATGGTTAAGAGCTCGGCTGCTAACCGAAAGGTCGGTAGTTCAAATCCATCAGCGGCTCCTTGGAAACCCTGTGAGGCAGTTCTGCTGTCCTATAGGGTTGCTATGAGTCGGAATGGACTCAATGGCAATGGGTTTTTTTCTGGGGGGGTTGGGGCTGGGGGTGGTTATTTTTTCACCCTAATATGAAAAAGACTAACAGCTCCAGTTAATAAGTTCTTGGCAATTCGTATTGGGGTTCTAGAGGGCTCCAGTCATTCACACCCTATCCCTTCAAGTGCTGAAACAATTGAAGAATAGACAGAGGAGAAAAGCAGTATTAAAACCTCTGCATTATCACTCATGAAGCTGGAGTAGAGAGAGCAACTTGCACTTGGGGCCAAATTAGGCTTCACGTATTTTCTCCCCTGGTCCAACACGCATAGCAGTTGGATGACGATGGACAACCGTCTCCACTCCACCCAGGCCCCTAGTGCCAGAGCTGTCCTAGGGGTATGGCCACTTAGGGCCTTTGGGTGGGCTAGTCCCCAAAAGGAGGCAACAAGGAGCAAGGTGAGAAGGACAGAGAAACCTGAACTGATGACCATGAACCTCCAGATCCTCGCCATCCAACCAGTTAGAAAACTGACCCACCTCCTGGGCTAGGAGTGTCCCTGGGAGGTGCAAAGGGTTAAACAAATGCTCGACTGCTAACTAAAAGGTTGGTGGTTTGAACCCACTCAGAAGTGCCTCAGAAGAAAGGCCCGGCAATCTACTTCTGACAGGTCATAACCTTGAAAACCCTAAGGAGTGCAGCTCTACTCTGCACACATGGGGATACTCTGAGTCGGAATCGACTTCATGGCAGCTGTTAGGTTTGTTTTCCCCCTTGGGCTAGGAGCCATTGAAAGTGGAGCAAAAGGGATCTCTCCCCCAGTGTTTCCAAAAGAGTAAAGTTTCCTAGTTTATGGGCAGAGATATCTCCCTATCAGGCAAGTAATCTCTAATCCTCACAATCTTCCAGGGAAGCAGCAAGTAAGGAACCAATGAAGGGGGAAAACCGAGACTCAGAGAGGAGAAGACTGAGTGAATATCTGTGCCCATATCTGTCTGCTGACCTACTACACCCCACAGGGTCCCAGAAGGTTTTTTTGGGACAGATGAATAATAACCCCCAAGCCCCACAAAGGCTGGGTGGCTGGTCCTGCTTGCAGAGGCATGGCATAGGTCTGGAAAGGGGATGCAGCCTAAGGAAGAAGGTGTGTCTGGTTCTCTCTATTCTGAATTCTATGACACCCTCGTGGACCTTCAGTTCCTCTACTGTTTCCAGTTCACACCAGGTCCTTACGTCCCCTTGACTGCTTACAACCCCCAGCAGGGAGAGTCTGGAAGGTTTCCCTTCCACTGGCTCATAGCCCACTTCTTCTCATTCCAGCTCCTGTACTGGAGCAGTATTGCTTAGGAGGTGCAGTTTCTCCTGCTCTACGTGGCTTCACACACAACCAAGGAACATCCGTCCACTCCTTTGAGCCTAGGGACCCTTGCCATCTTGCTGACTCCATGACTGCTGATAGAGAATGCCGCCTTCTCCCTGAAGGCAGAGCTGGTCAGAGTGCCTGGCGCTCCATCAGCTCTCCATGTGGCAGAAGTTGCTAGTTGATTAGTAAACCTGGTTCCTCTTACTTCTGGGAACACAGCTGAACTACATTCTTCAGTGTCCCTTCATAAATTGGTGGAGCCATGCAACTGAGTTCTAGCCAATGGAGTGAAGAATGATGTGTGGCAATTCCAGGCCTGGTCCATCAGAGTCTCCCCTGCTCCATCCTCCATCACCTTGTCTCTCAAAGGCAAGCCCTTGAACCAGCAGTCTCAGCAGGTTACAGATGCAGAATCTCATGTCCCACCCCAGGTCTCCTGAATCCGATCTTCAGTTTAGCAATATCACCAGGTCATCTGTATGCACATTAAAGTGTGAGAATCACTGATATATCCCATTTGCCCATCCACTAGCTGAATGCACAGGATTCCAAGGGCCTCAGGGAAGGCCAAGCCACAAGACAAGCAGCTTGGCTTCCTGAAAGACCATGATCATGTGGAAGGCCATCCATCAATTATTGTTGTTGTTAGGTTCCATGAAGTCTGTTCCGACTCATAGCAACCCTATGTACAAAGAATGAAATACTGCCCGGTTCTGTGCCATCCTCACAACTATTGTTATGCCTGAGCCCATTGTTGCAGCCACTGTGTCAGTCCATCTTGTTAAGCATCTTCCTCTTTTTCGCTGACCCACTATTTTACGGAGCATGATGTCCTTCTCTAGGGACTGATCACTCCTGACAACACGTCCAAAGTATGTGAGACAAAGTCTCACCATCCTTGCTTCTAAGGAGCATTCTGGGTGTAGTTCTTCCAAGAAAGATTTGTTCATTCTTTTGGCAGTCCATAATATATTCAATATTCATCCATCTACTAGGAACACTCATTTTGGACTTTAAGTGCACAAAAAATCAACTATCACTGGGTTATCAAGCCATTGAAATGTTGAAGTTTATCACCACAGCTAGCATTATCGTTACTATTTTGGCACCCCAGTAATAAAAGAGAGCCCCTATTTCCTACAAGTCCCTTTACCAAGAGGATCAGATGAGAAACAATAGCTACTAAGCAAAGATGCAAGGCGCTCTGAATAG